ACTTGTTTACATGCGGCGCATGTACCTAGACAAATGCATCTATCAAATAGCATACGCGTTTTCGGACAGAAACCTAGTCATGTATTTCGGCTACACTGGCTGTTTCCCTCCAGCAGTTGTCCGATTGCACCTGCATTCCTGCGTACCGTCTCATTAGCAGCACCGTAAAAAGAACAGCAGTACTTGTGCGGCGGTTAAATGCCAAAAAAACGATGCAAACAGTTACCTGCACTTATCGCCGACATTGTTATGGTTACCTCTTAAAAGGACACAGTTTTGTAAACTGCGCAGATGAAAATCTACTTATTTTTATGTTGGTAAGAGTTTCCTATGAACACAGCCATATTTTTAAATGAACTATCTAACTTAATGACCTACAAACTGAAGGAAATTAAAACTAAACAAAAATAAAACGAAACTGATACCAATTAAAATAAGCAGTAAAGTAATAAACAAACTAAACTAAATGCAAAACTACAAAGAAATGAGGAGTTAACTATGTACTGTGAACTATGGTGATATTTATGAGAAACCTTTGCCGTTATTTCGTTGCAGTTTACAGCCCGTTGTGAGTGCACTTTGTCTCAGCCCATGCTTGGGAGAAAAGTAAAAAAAAAATTTCGAAAGCTGACTACAAACCTCTCGAAAGGGTTACGCAGTTAGGAGGAAGAGAAAGCAAAGACGAGTGCTTTCGTGGCGGCAGGTATTCAGCGACACAAAACAAGCCAGCGTCTATTGCAAAAGGAAAGCCCTTATTTGTTGAAAAATGCCCCCACTTCCTTCGTTTCTCTTGTATAAACCACTAATAAACAGAAGCCATCTTTCGTGGACTGGGTTAAATTTTCTCCTCGAGTATGTTGATGCACTTAGCATGAACTTATTAAGTTGACTTACATTTACTTTGTGCTTCCTTCCGGAACTGGCCATACTGCTTGCATCAGCTTTAACGGCTTTAATAACGCTTACAACAGCTATTCGTTTGCGAACCTATTTGTTATGCAATATTTCACTAAGGAATTGGCACAAGATGGAATTATGTTCATTTAGCGTCTTTGTCGTTTTGCAATAAGGACCTAAAGCGGTTACTGTTAATGGTACTAGCTATTTGCTGCAGAGACAGTAGTGGATGAGCAATCTAAGACAACAGCTGTCATATTTGGTTATTGTTTTTGTATAAAAGGTATTAAATATAGGTCAAAGAAAGTTGCTTTCTACCTGCTCGTTTTTATTGAGTATATAACTATTAAGAATGGTGATTCAGGTTGCGTTTAAGGTAAAACCTTGAAGTTAACTGCAGATGTGCATCTCAAAAATTATCAGGGATGAGCCATATTACATCACATATTAAAATAAATTGGAGCCTGGAGCAGAAGCACATAATACGGTTGAGGCAGACATGAGATAACCCCTTGGACGAATAGAGGGTGACTGCTATATCATGTACCAGTAAAGTCTTCGGCCAGTCCGGACTTAATTGCGTTAACCAAGACCTTGTAGTAAATAAAATACCCCAGACAAACAAAAATACCCGTACATTTTGAAAAATTAGCCAAGGTTCCTTACAAGTAAGCGTTCAATGTAATTAATTTTGCACTGGTTATCGAGGTGCTTATAGTAATAGGTCATGTCAGAAGTCAAAGATGCAAGCTTGATAAGCTAGGTTTTTGACATTTTGACTTTTAGTTTCGTATAGTTTAATGATCCGTGGGCAAAATCGTAGCTTATCAGTCACAGTAGCGACTAAGTGAGCATTTCAACTTTAGGCGCGACCCATGAGGTAACCGGGAGTTAAACCGCGAACCGAGCCAGCCGAAAGAAATACGGTAAGTACAAAAAAATACTAATAAAAATCGAGCAAGAAAGAGAGGTAGAATTTGCTTCCCTGCGCTATTATTAGCCGCAGTGTTATTAGGTTTTGAGAATTTACCATGAACAGTTCCAGTGCATTAGTGATCATTGCACAGAGACATTTCTGGGCTGCATTTTGTTCCTCCAGCTCGCGGGGCTCACTGCCGTTCACATTATCGCCCCATCGACGTCGACGTGATAATTTTGACAGGTGAAAAAGTGTTGGAGTGAAGCAGATTGCAAGGTTGTTAGATCCCATCTTGAAAAGTGGAGATACAACAGAATTACTTATGCAAGACAGATATATACAGCATTGGGGTAATTAGTCCATTACAGAGAAACAGTCACAGTAAACCCAAATGTACATCAAAAATGTACGGGCAAAGAAGCGAAAAACAG